GAAATTCAATATGAAGTCATAAATTGTACTCATTTCAAAGCTAATGATTCAATCAGCCTTTCCATGAAATTCATAGAAAATGTGTTTTCCAATAGCGTTTAAAGTGATATTTTTTTACTGTTTTATAAAATGATTTTGTTTATATGCTGAAAATAGTATTGCATCACACAGAGAGCGAACATTAAACAAAACTTCTTCTTCTTTGTAATAGCAAATTAGATTAAATATTAGAGTTTAGCGGACACCTGGATGTTCGGGTTCGTTGGGTTCGGCCGAATTTCGTCAAAAGTTCGAGTTCGGGACTCGAACTTGACCCGAACTTGACCCTGAACACGAACCCCATTGGCGGTCAATGGGCACCTGAACTTTTGGGCACTAAAATGGCTCTAAAAAAGTCCTGGAAAGGGCTAGAGGGCTGCAAAAGGAAGTAAAATGGGGGTAAGAGTAGGACAAGTGCCCTTCAAACAAATGTGGATAGGGAAATAACTTAAAATAACATAAAATACATAAAAATGTAAAATAATAATCTTGAACTAGGAATCTTCTCAAAAGTCGGGGGCCGTCTTATATGCCCGGTGTCGTCTTGTAGGGCGGTCTATGCAGGGCCGGCACTATCTGAGTGCCGGCTCCACTGTTTTCAATGACGGGCCGGTGAGGAGATCAAAGATCTCCCTCACCCAGGACTGTTTAAAGGAATTTGGGGGCACCAAGCAAAATGGACATGGAGGCCCCCGGGCGGCCCCCACCCTTGATCGGGGGGTGGGGGCCCTAAATAACAATGAGGGGGTGGGACCTACTGTCCTCCCCATGGCCCCCAACCCTGCGTGGTGGGTGGGGCCCCTACATAACAATGAGGGAGGGACCTACTGTCCTCCTCCCTGCCCCCCAACTTTGAGCAGTGGGTGGGGGCCCTAAATTAGAATGAGGGGGGACCTACTGTCCTCCCCCCCGGCCCCCACCCCTGCACGGTGGGTGGGGGCCCTAAATAAGAATGAGGGAGGGGGTTCCCCCCCCTTCCAAGGTGAATAGGGGTCCCCAAGCCCCTAGTCACCCCCCCCCACCCAAATAAAAGTTATCCCCTACCTACCACCCTCACCCTAAAAATAGTGAGGGGGGAATAAAATAACTAACCTGTAAATAAAAATAAAACTTTCTATTTGATGTCTTCTTTCTTCTAAAATCTTAATTTTTCAGCCCAAAAAAGGCCAAATAAAAAACCATAAGACCCGTCGAACTTAAAATAAAATAAAAAATCTGAGTGCAAAAAAAAAGACGAAAAAGGAAAACACCCGACACTAAAAAAAAAATCCATCTTCACCCATTGGGGGCTCCACACAGACTGAGCTCTGCAGGGTGGGGGAAAGCTTATAAAGACTTGACCCACCCTGCAATTAGGCTAAGAACACTCTGATTGGTTGGTTTAAGCCAATCAGAGTGCTCTTTGCCATTTTACACAGCGTGGGAAAATTCTTTGGACAGTAGGTCCCCCCTCTCATTGTTATTTGGGGCCCCCACCCGCCGCTCAGGGGTGGGTGCCGGGGGGGAGGACAATAAGTCCCCCACCCCCTTATTTTACTTTAGGGACCCCATCCTCCGTTCAGAGGTTGGGGCCAATAGGTTTTTATTTTTTATTTTATTTTTTTACAGTGAGCAGCCACTTAGTATTAGTAAATGTGTCTGAAAGACCAATTGAGGTCTTTCAGCCTTTTGGTAGATAGCTTCTCTCCCTACACTAATAAGAGCTCATGTGACTCCAGCTTATATAGAGGCAGGGTCACATGCTGCACTGGCCAATTACAGCCATGCCATTAGTAGGCATGGCTGTGATGGCTTCTAAGGGCACACGAGTCAAACGCTTGTTGATTGGTTGCACTGTAGCTTTTCAAAACCCGCCGAACACCGAACTCGAACCTGAACTGTTACTGAAATGTCCGGGTTCGGGGTCAAAAAATCGTAATGTTTGGTACAAACCCGAACTTTACATTTCGGGTTCGCTCAACTCTATTAAATATCACAACGTAAAATATAACAACAAACACGTGATTTGTGATACATCTCTTCCCATCTCACTGTAATCACTGCCAAAATAACAAATCAAGGTTTACAGTCATTCAGCCTCTGATAGATTAGACAATGGCAATCAAAAGGCCTTTCAGAAGCACATCGTCTAGAATGTGACTACATGCCAGATTATTAATTCAAAGGGTAGATCAGTGGATCAGTGGTAGGTCAGTGGTGGATCAGTGGTAGGTCAGTGGTAAGTGAGTGGTAGGTCATTGTGGGTCAGTGGTGGGTCAGTGGTGGGTCAGTGGTAAGTCAGTGGTAGGTCAGTGGTGGGTCAGTGGTAAGTCAGTGGTAGGTCAGTGGTGGGTCAGTGGCAGTCAGTGGTAGGTCATTGGTGGGTCAGTGGTAGGTCAGTGGTGAGTCAGTGGTAGGTCAGTGGCAGGTCAGTGTTAGGTCAGTGGTGGGTCAGTGGTAGGTCAGTGGTAGGTTGGTAGTAGGTCAATGGTAGGTCAGTGTTAGGTTGGTGCTAGGCAGGTCAGTGGTGGGTCAGTGGTAGATCAGTGTTAGGTTGGTGGTAGGTAGGTCAGTGGTGGGTCAGTGGTAGGTCAGTGTTAGGTCAGTGTTAGGTTGGTGGTAGGTCAGTGGCAGGTCAGTGTTAGGTCAGTGGTGGGTCAGTGGTAGGTCAGTGGTAGATCAGTGGTAGGTTGGTGGTAGGTCAGTGTTAGGTTGGTGGTAGGAAGGTCAGTGGTGGGTCAGTAGTGGGTCAGTGTTAGGTTGGTGGTAGGTAGGTCAGTGGTGGGTCAGTGGTAGGTCAGTGTTAGGTTGGTGGTAGGTAGGTCAGTGGTGGGTCAGTGGTGGGTCAGTGTTAGGTCAGTGTTAGGTTGGTGGTAGGTCAGTGGTGGGTCAGTGTTAGGTCTGTATTAGGTTGGTGGTAGGTCAGTGTTAGGTTGGTGGTAGGTCAGTGGTAGGTCAGTGATGGGTCAGTGTTAGGTCAGTGTTAGGTTGGAGGTAGGTCAGTGGTGGGTGAGTGGTGGGTCAGTGTTAGGTTGGTGGTAGGTCAGTGTTAGGTCAGTAGTGGGTCAGTGTGGGTCAGTGTGGGTGAGTGTTAAAGTAACTCGTTATTTTATTGGGTCAGTGTTAGGTCAGTGTTAGGTTGGTGGTAGGTCAGTGGTAGGTCAGTGTTAGGTTGGTGGTAGGTCAGTGGTAGGTCAGTGTTAGGTTGGAGGTAGGTCAGTGGTGGGTCAGTGGTGGGTCAGTGTTAGGTCAGTGTTAGGTCGGTGGTAGGTCATTGGTGGGTCAGTGGTAGGTCAGTGGTAGGTCAGTGGTGGGTCAGTAGTGGGTCAGTGTGGGTGAGTGTTAAAGTAACTTGTTATTTTATTGGGCGTTATTTCCTGTGTGGTACCTGGCTGATCTTTCCTTTGTATTGCACAATATCGCATGTTCTGCTGTTTTAGAACAAACCCTGTGCTGGTCTTCAATGAAGCCTGATTCATTCCTCCACAAAAAACATTCCAATGATAGGGAATACAGCAATGGCCAAGCTTACAGCACTCCAACAAGACCATCTTTGTGCTCAGTGACCGATTGGACACCTTCAGCCTCTTCTTCATTTATTAGCAAAGTTGATGGCAGGAACCGCACTCATTCCCAGCGGCCACGGGTGCTCCGGAGCAGGTCCAGCAATCCCAACACGACAAGTCAAACAAAAAAACTCACCGGCACTCCAAGTGTAAAGCAGCAGGCAGGTTTATTGCAACAAAATGCACCGCAACGTTTCGACCTGACTAGAGGCTTGACAAAGACCTCTATTCAGGTCGAAACGTTGCAGTGCATTTTGTTGCAATAAACCTGCCTGCGGCTTTACTTGGAGTGCCGGTGAGTTTTTTTGTTTGCCTCTTCTTCATTTATTGGCCATAACAAGTGGTGTTTGCACACCTTGCAAAATGTAAACATAGAAAGCTGGAGTGGGAGCTGAACGCCATCTGGAATACATTCAGCAGTTTCATTGAAACTAAATTGCCAGGAGTTTGCCTGAGCAAAGGCTGAGCAGATATGATACAATGTATCCAACTCATGGAGGAAAAGACAATATTCTGCATTCACACATCTTACTGGAATAGCACTGAATAAATACTATTTATTAATGAAAATATTAATAGAAATCATTTTTGATATGTACATCTATAATTTATTTATTGACTTCCTCGCACCATCCTCACTATGAATATATTGACTTAGGGACTTTACCCTGCGGTTGATATTCTTTTAATGAAGGACATTTTGTTACCGATATATTGTTGCCATCAAGTCCCTCTTTGCTCAAACAGTTACAGTCCCTGAAAGCTGGTTAGGAGAAGGTCCATCCAGCATGTCCGACGAGCTGCTGGTAGTGCTGGTGTTTCCAGTCTTCTCTTCCAGCCCTTTCTGTAAGTGATCTCTTAATGAAGTCACTGAATTGTAATCAGCTCAAGGTGGGAATGAAAGGAATCATCTCTGTAAATGGGCTTTCACAATGATTGTAAAACGAGGTGAGAGCCAATAACTTAATGAGTCCAGAGATATTTTTATATCTGACTGGGGAGCCCATACCCAACCTCTATCCGTTACTCATCCTGTCCGGGGCTGAAAAATAAATACTAAATTAAAACAATAAACTCAGTCTGGTGTCATAAAACAAGATACTAAACATCTACAGCATTTTACCTTCCCTTTTCTAACCCATAAAGTGAATATTAGAATAACAGCACTTTGTATTGTCATCGTGGTTTAATACATAATTACATTGAACATCCATGGATATCTAATGACATGTTTCAATGTTTCTACAACTGGCAGAGAACTTAAACTGCTCTCCGTGATTATAGAGTATAATACCTAAACCTACATTAGTAAATACTATAAAGTCTTTTAAGTCTACATTTTCTTCTGCAAAACATTAAAGCATAAAATGCCCATTTAGTAAATGTTTAAATGCCGTGCGTCATGCTTAACATGTTTTAATACAACCTCATCACAATGAGAGAAGTCACAATATTGGGCAGCTCGCTATTTATCACAATGAGAGAAGTCACAATATCGGGCAGCTCGTTATTTATCACAATGAGAGGAGTCACCATATCGGACAGCTCGCTATTTATCACAATGAGAGAAGTCACCATATCGGGCAGCTCGTTATTTATCACAATGAGAGGAGTCACCATATCGGGCAACTCGTTATTTATCACAATGAGAGGAGTCACCATATCGGGCAGCTCGCTATTTATCACAATGAGAGGAGTCACGATATCGGACAGCTCCCTATTTATCACAATGAGAGGAGTCACAATATCGGGCAGCTCGCTATTTATCACAATGAGAGAAGTCACCATATCGGGCAACTCGTTATTTATCACAATGAGAGAAGTCACCATATCGGGCAGCTCGTTATTTATCACAATGAGAGGAGTCACCATATCCGGCAACTCGCTATTTATCACAATGAGAGAAGTCACAATATCGGGCAGCTCGTTATTTATCACAATGAGAGAAGTCACCATATCGGGCAGCTCGTTATTTATCACAATGAGAGAAGTCACCATATCAGCCATATCACGGGCAACTCGCTATTTATCACAATGATAGAAGTCACAATATATGGCAGCTCGTTATTTATCACAATGAGAGAAGTCACCATATCCGGCAGCTCGTTATTTATCACAATGAGAGAAGTCACCATATCGGGCAACTCGTTATTTATCACAATGAGAAAAGTCACCATATCGGACAGCTCGCTATTTATCACAATGAGAGAAGTCACCATATCGGGCAGCTTGTTATTTATCACAATGAGAGGAGTCATGATATCGGACAGCTCCCTATTTATCACAATGAGAGGAGTCACCATATCGGGCAGCTTGTTATTTATCACAATGAGAGAAGTCACCATATCAGTCAGCTCGTTATTTATCACAATGAGAGAAGTCACAATATCGGGCAGCTCGTTATTTATAACAATGAGAGAAGTCACCATATTGGGCAGCTCGTTATTTATCACAATGAGAGGAGTTACAATATCGGGCAGCTCGTTATTTATCACAATGAGAGAAGTCACAATATCGGGCAGCTCGCTATTTATCACAATGAGGGAAGTCACAATATCGGGCAGCTCACTATTTATCACAATGAGAGGAGTCACCATATCGGGCAGCTTGTTATTTATCACAATGAGAGAAGTCACAATATCGGGCAGCTCATTATTTATAACAATGAGAGAAGTCACAATATCGGGCAGCTCGCTATTTATCACAATGAGGGAAGTCACAATATCGGGCAGCTCACTATTTATCCCAATGAGAGAAGTCACAATATCGGACAGCTCGTTATTTATCACAATGAGAGAAGTCACCATATCGGACAGCTCGCTATTTATCACAATGAGAGAAGTCACAATATCGGGCAACTCGTTATTTATCACAATGAGAGGAGTCACCATATCGGGCAACTCGTTATTTATCACAATGAGAGGAGTCACCATATCGGACAGCTCGCTATTTATCACAATGACAGAAGTCACCATATCGGACAGCTCGCTATTTATCACATTGAGAGAAGTCACAATATCGGGCAGCTCGTTATTTATCACAATGAGAGGAGTTACAATATCGGGCAGCTCGTTATTTATCACAATGAGAGAGCCTCACCATATCGCGTACCCACATGCCCATCACGACGAGAGAAGTCACCATATCGGACAGCTCGCCATTTATCAAGCAAATGAGAGAAGCCGCTACCATCGGGCAACTCGCTATTTATCACAATGAGAGGAGCTGCCCGCTACCGGCAACTCGCTATTTTATCACAATGAGAGTCACCATATCGGACATTGAAAGCCCGCTATTTATCACAATGACAGAAGTCACCATATCGACAGCTCGGCTATTTATCACAATGAGAGGAGTTACAATATCTGGCAGCTCATTATTTATCACAATGAGAGGAGTTACAATATCGGCAGCTCATTATTTATCACAATGAGAGGAGTTACAATATCTGGCAGCTCATTATTTATCACAATGAGAGGAGTTACAATATCGGCAGCTCATTATTTATCACAATGAGAGGAGTTACAATATCTGGCAGCTCATTATTTATCACAATGAGAGGAGTTACAATATCGGCAGCTCATTATTTATCACAATGAGAGGAGTTACAATATCTGGCAGCTCATTATTTATCACAATGAGAGGAGTTACAATATCGGCAGCTCATTATTTATCACAATGAGAGGAGTTACAATATCTGGCAGCTCATTATTTATCACAATGAGAGAAGTCACTATATCGGGCAGCTCGTTATTTATCACAATGAGAGAAGACACCATATCAGGCAGCTCGCTATTTATCACAATGAGAGGAGTCACAATATCGGGCAACTCGTTATTTATCACAATGAGAGGAGTTACAATATCGGGCAGCTCTTTATTTATCACAATGAGAGAAGTCACCATATCAGGCAGCTCGTTATTTATCACAATGAGAGGAGTCACCATATCGGGCAGCTCGTTATTTATCACAATGAGAGAAATCACAATATCGGGCAGCTTGTTATTTATCACAATGAGAGAAGTCACCATATTGGGCAGCTCGCTCATTAGTTATCACAATGAGAGAAGTCACCATATCGGGCAGCTCATTATTTATCACAATGAGAGAAGTCACTATATCGGGCAGCTCATTATTTATCACAATGAGATAAGTCACAGTATCGGGAAGCTCGTTATTTATCACAATGAGAGAAGTCACCATATCGGGCAGCTCACTATTTATCACAATGAGAGAAGTCACAATATCGGGCAGCTCGTTATTTATCACAATGAGAGAAGTCACCATATCGGGCAGCTCGCTATTTATCACAATGAGAGAAGTCACAATATCGGGCAGCTCATTATTTATCACAATGAGAGAAGACACCATATCAGGCAGCTCGCTATTTATCACAATGAGAGAAGTCACAATATCGGGCAGCTCGTTATTTATCACAATGAGAAAAGTCACAATATTGGGCAGCTCGTTATTTATCACAATGAGAGAAGTCACAATATCGGGCAGCTCGTTATTTATCACAATGAGAAAAGTCACAATATCGGGCAGCTCGTTATTTATCACAATGAGAGAAGTCACAATATCGGGCAGCTCGTTATTTATCACAATGAGAGAAGACACCATATCGGGCAGCTCGCTATTTATCACAATGAGATAAGTCACCATATCGGGCAGCTCATTATTTATCACAATGAGAGAAGACACCATATCGGGCAGCTCGCTATTTATCACAATGAGAGAAGTCACAATATCGGGCAGCTCGTTATTTATCACAATGAGAAAAGTCACAATATCGGGCAGCTCGTTATTTATCACAATGAGAGAAGTCACCATATCGGGCAGCTCGTTATTTATCACAATGAGAGAAATCACCATATCGGGCAACTCGTTATTTATCAATGAATGTAGCAATATAATTTATACTATATTCACACAATACCCCTGGGCATCCTGCTCTGGAGGCCTACTGAGAAAGATCAGGGAATTCTGTGTCATTGATTCAATTCTCAACTCATGTGATCTTATCAGGTGCTATGACATCAACATGTGACAGCCTCGGCAACACTGTCAGCAGAGGACTATGTGGACCGAGGCTTTCATTAACGTAATAATTAACGTAAATATCCTACAGTTTCTGTACTAAATACTAGGATTTTGTCCGTTCTCATAGAGTTCTGATAGCGTTTGTTTTTGTTTTAATGCATTAACTTGACTCTCCCCAAGTTAAAAGGGTAATCCAGATGTGGACACCGTTCTCACTGTGCCTAGAGGGGTATCAGCTGACAAGGCCAAAATGATCATCTGGGGTTGCTGTATCTCTCAGTTCTGGACTGCCTTTATGGGTGGGACCAGTCTGATATGCTTCCGAATATGTTCTCTTTGTATAGGCACAAGTGAGCGAAAACAATTTTGAGACCTGAACGGGGACTAGCCGAAGGACAAGCTATTGAGTTCCTCTAAGCTTTGTCCATTCTCAGAGTTCTCATATTCTTTGTGTTTGTTAAATACTAGGATGTCTTACTCTCATTCACTAAGGTATTAAACCATGGTGGGGGTCATGATAAAATATTTCTACTTTAAAGGGACACTCCACTGCCCAAATAAAATCAAAACACTGTTTAGTAGACATAACGTAAAATGAATCCATGCAATTAACTATGCATTTTTTCATTGGGTTTATTTTTTATGTAAAACTGCTTGTAAAAGCTGCAGATATTATGTATGAAGGATTTGCAAACCCCGGCCAGGCTTTCTCTAACTGTCCAATCACAGACTTTCCAATGCAGCTCAATGATAAGTCTATGCAAGGCAGGTGCTGCCTCTTGAGTTTATCTCCACTGAGCTAAACAAACCAGGAAGTAACAGGACCAGCTGTCTGATTGACAGCCAGGAGGTTGGTGTAACCAGGTGTAATTTATAAAATTAAAATTTTAAAAAAAGGACACACTCTTCACACAAGATTTTCAGCAAGCTGACGTGCTGTGGCCAGCCGAAGTGTCCCTTTAAGGTAGTAAGAGATTTAGATTAAATAGTGAATATAACAGATCTAGGACAATGACACTTAGTGAACATTCTTTGTAAACAAGCAGAAGAACAATATTATCTAAACCCAAGCTGTAGAAAAGTGTGAAGGTTATTTGGTGCATTTTGTCGCTGCTAACATGGTACACTCTGTGCCGCTCGATGCTATGAACAGCTGGGATAATTGGGAACATGGATTATGGTTTTAGAGTCTCAATCAGTAAATATCTGCTGTGTCCACAACGTTAACTATTCCAGGAACTCCCTAATTCCCTGTTACTTTCCGAGGAGAGATTTAGCCACAAACCACGTTAACAATTTACACTTTAGTTTCCACAAATCATGAAAACAAATGCATTCTATGTTGAAGAAACATCCTAAATTAACGGAAGACGAGTTACAGCTATTGTCTTCATTCTATCAGATTTTCTCAACAAACCTAGAAATCCTGCACCGATATCTGGAATTTTTTGAAGTTTTGCATGTTTGGTAAATTGTTCTAGAACAGGTACGAATATGGTAAATTGTTCCAGAACAGGTATGAATATGGCAAATTGTTCTAGAACAGGTACAAATATGGTCAATTGTCAGGGCCAGATTAAGAGCCCAGTGGGCCTGGTGCTGACAATTATGATGGGCCTGATTACAGAATCTTATCGACCAAAAACACTAAAATAGTCATACCTCTCAAGCATCATGTATCTGGTGTTGGAGGGAAACTTAAAGGATACAGCTATAAGAAAACTCATACCCTATGCTAATCTCTCTCTAATTTATGCTTTCATCTTTCAAGTAAATCCATAGCCGCTAACAGCAGTGTCCAGTAAAGCAGGGCAGGGTAAAACGGTGGGCCACTGACGTGAATCACGTGACCAGAACTGCCGAAAGGGGTGAACATGCCCAAAAAGGGGGCATGTCTGTCCAAAGAATTGCAGGGCCAGCCTGGCATCTGTGTCCCTATGTATCAGTGTCAGTGTCCCCATGTCGCCCAGTCCCCTAGTCTCCCAGCGTCTGTGTCCCCATTTCTCCCAGTGTCCCCATGTTTCAGTGTGTCCCGTGTCACTAGGATACTACGGGACACTGAGAGACATGGGGACACTGGGAGACATGGGGGCACTTGTTGATACAGACATGGGATCACTGGGAGACAGTGACATGGGGACACAGAAGCTGGGAGACATGGGGACACAGACATTTGGGGAAAATAAGACACTAGGGACACTGAGAGACATGGGAACACAGACACTGGGAGACTAGGGGACACTGGGAAACATGGGGACACAGACACTACACAGACACAGACACTGGCTGGGAGGCATGGGGACACTGGGAGACATGGGGGCACTTATGGACATAGACATGGGGACACTGGGAGACATGGGGACACTGAGACATTTGGGGAAACTGGGAGACATGGGGACACTAGGGACACAGAGACATGGGGACACAGACACTGGGAGACATAGGGACACAGACACCAGGGACTCAGGGAGACATGGGAACACTGAGACACTGGCTGGGAGACGTGTGGACACTGGGAGACATGGGGACACAGACATTTGGGGACACTGGGAGACATGGGGACACTGGGAGAGATGGAGACACTGTGTCCCTCGTGTCTCCATGTTCCAATGTGTCTTCCCATGTCTCACAGCATCCCCATGTCTCACAGTGTCCCCAAATGTCTCAGTGTCCCCACATCTCACAGTGTCCCCTAGTGTCTCAGTGTCCCCATGTCTCCCTGTTGCCTTTCCCCCCATCCTTCACATATCTGAGCTGTAGTCTGTCTCTGCAGGCTGGGAGCTGCTGTCTGGACTCTCTGTGCTGTGTAGCTGCTCCCTCGTGGATCAGTGAGTAGAGAGAAGCAGGGAGATGCTGTAACTTCCTATCCCTGCCTTTCTCTATACACAGTGACCCCTACTGGCCGGTGCTGGTATTGCAGAGTATTCTCCGT